CCCCTCACCTTCCTCCTCCCCTTGGTTTTGATGAGCGCACGTGGACGCTCAGGAAGCGAGAGCGGATTATCGGTTTAAGAGCGAGGGGTCGGAGAAGGAAAGGGGGTAAATTTCGCGGTCTATATATTAATATAAACGCGAGTTTTCGATCCGGAATGCATGAAAGATTTTTCAAACCTGCAAACTTAATTTTACAGCATAAAAGTAACTTGATATTAGTCTATTTAATAAATAAATGAAATAAAAATTTAAAAACTGTCATATATATTTATTACATATGTATTATACATTATATATTACATATTCTGTAATAATATCGAAACACAATGAAAGCAAAATAATTGCTAACGTCGCGCTATAAATACATTCAAATGAAAATCCAGGTGAATAACAGCTTTTGTCGATCTGTCACGAAGGGATTTAAATTGTTATAAAAAATTGATAGCACATTTAGATTTCCGTTATATAAGCTTATTTCCGAAGTACATTAATTCTTGAAATATTTTTTATCGCGCTTTTAATTTCTTTTATATAAGGATCATCAGTATTTATTAAAACTCAAATCCGCGTGATGATTAGCTGGAAGAAGCGTTTTGAATATCTAAATTAAATATTAAATCGTCAATATATCAAATATTTGCGTTATAAAAATTTACACTTAATTAGAGATGAAGAAGAAGAAAGAAAAGACGATGATTTGAAATGTTTGATCGGAAATCAAGAATATCGCGTTAATAAGATTTGTTAAATACATTTCAATATATATTTTATTTTAATATCATCGACAAGTAATCACTGATATAAAAAGATTGAATTGATAAAAACAATTTTCCTACATTATAATATCTCGAAGTATTTCCTATATTATAATAACGAAATATTTTAGAATCCCAGGAAAAAAAAAGCAGTATTTATTATAGAGACGAACTTGGCATTTAATTATTTATTTATTCATTTTTCTTTGATGCGAAGCATGAGAAACAGAAAGAGAGAGAAAGACCGCTATATCTCCACTATTTTTCGATCCCTGACCTTTGACACTGTACCTTTTATACACGTGCGTTATGAAACATTGGCGGGCTAGTGTTACGAAGGAAAAATATGAACGGTGTAACTGTAAGTTACAGCGCCTCGGCTTTTGACAATTGACATTTACGCTCGGCTGTCACATTTTTTCATCACTTTTCATACCCTCGAAAGCAACACACTGACAGATATTTGATATATTGCTATTTTTCTTACTCGTAAAAATACTGTTCTTATAAATATTTAATTTATAAAGAATTAATTCTAATATACGCTGTCGTCAAATCAGTGAAAAGATTCTTTGTGTGATCTCTTGAAAAAATATTAAAAATCTGAGAAAAAAATAGATCAAAGTGTCGCAGAGAGGAGGATTATTCGTTCGATTTTTTTCGAGTCGTCTATTTCCTCTTTTATCGTTTATATCGAGCAAAGCAAAGCGAAAAGAGATCGACGTTGCGATACATGCATGCGCGAAATCTACACGCTGGTGGATGATATGACGGCGATAATGCAGGTGCGTCGCGGCGCGCGATAACCGCGGGCTTTAGGACGGCCTGAATTAGCAGGTGCAATATATATTAACCAAACGGGCTTTCTCATTATTCGCTGTTAGATGAAAGGGGAAAAGGGCACGGCGCGCCGATTTTATCCCCCCCCCC